CAATCACTCATGTGACTCAGACTTCTAAGAGTGCATCTAGATTAGACTGAACCGAAATTCGAGCCACGAGCATTTCAGCTAATTTTTATTATTTTTTGACAAACCGCGTAAAGCCGTAATCACTCTACCTTTTTTTCACCAGAGACAACTCCGGAACAAATTAGATGCGGTAGGATTTCCAGCATAGATGAAAAACAGAGAGATTCTCATGTTCACTTGAAAATTTATTTACAAGCGCTACACATTATATAGAATGCAAGATATGAACCATTCGCATACCTCGCTCGGCAGCAATCAGAAGTCATGTCTACATTACTGAAAATAATTGCACGTTACCACGGAAAAAGACACGGTCACGGATGAGTGAACAGCGTCCGAGATCGAGCAACAGCCAGTTAACAAAACAGAATGCATTTCTTATAATAACAATTAATTATATATATATATATATAACAATGATAACCAATTATAATGACAATGACACCATATGATATTCCGACGTGCACCGAACGGATGTTCGCGAATTATAAAGCTAATTCAACGTTCGCGGTAAGACGAGTTATCTCGTCAACATTGTCGGTACAATGTTGCACAAATTGTAAACTCCATAAAAGAAGTACGCTATAGCAGTCGTGAATCTAAACAAATCGAGAGGAACCCTAGGCCCGTTTATTTACGCTAAGATTGTGCGAGTACTCGTGCGATTCTCTTCTTACTATTATGGATATCTGTTACTCGAATCTTATATAGGAACACATTCTGATTATCTACTCTTTTTTTAGTATATATCTCCTTAATATTTTATTATTTATTTTAATATACAGCGAGAAAATTCAATGAAAGTGTGTGCTCTGATAAAATTCGAGTAAACCGAAATGATCGAATTATTTAGATTTTAGAATATCGATTTGATTTCAACTATCGTTATTATCAATAGCATTATAATCCAAATCGAATTTTCCTGGAAAAAAGCTGTCCTATATGAACCTTGGCTTCCTCCTGGCTTCACCATAGGTCTAATTTTTATTTGTTAAAGAGGCTTATAAGCTCATTATTCAACCTCCTCTTGTCTTTGAAACTTGTCTATTATTATTATTTGGAGATTTTTTGTCCTTCAAAGAACAATAGTACCTGAGAAATATTCGAGTACTCGCATATTCCTAATTTATGCCGTCGCGTGGCAGAGTGTTGTATGCGTAATCTAACATTTGAACATTTGTACTTCACATATTATATAGTCGCGCGTATGACAAAATATTACTACGTAGGCATGACTCACACTGTATTGGACACTACTATATATTACATTATTACGTATGTGTTATGCATATGATACGGGCCTCTCGCTAGTGATGAATAAACTATTTTTATAACGTATCTCAATAAAGACATAGATACATGTGAAAAAATACAACAAGATACAGATACAGATATTCAGATACTTTAAAAGTATGTCAGATACATATCAGATATTTTTTAATTATTTTTATAATAATGGTAATATATAGAAAATATATTTATAATACCGTTCATAGAACAACACTTGCAATTTTTTTGCATTTCACAAAAGTAAATTGTTTATCTTTTAAAAAGTATATCTCGATGAAAAAACTTTCATGACATTTTGTTTTTAAACTAAATAAAATTAAAATGAAAAATAAATTTTTCAAAAATATTTTTGTTATATTTTGAAATACTGTACCTGAATGAATCATCAAACAAAATTTAATAAATATGCATTATAAAGTAAATTTTCGAAGCTATAAAAAAGTGCTTCTAAAAAAAAAAATAATACGATGATTTTTTTGTAAATTCGCATTTTTATTGTGTAAAATTTTATCGTGTAAAAACTAACCTTTTTTAAAATGTTTTCTAATTTTACAATAGAAAGTTTTACAAACAAAAAAGACAAAAGTTGTACACACCATTGTGTATACCACCCATTCGTTATTGTGCTAAAATTCTGTTTAACTAACATTTTCAAATTTTAAATGTCATACTGACTCTACACAGTCCCTTCGAGACAGTGTAGCAAAATCCCACTTCGAACATAAAACTTGCACTACGTCGAATGAGTTCGCAACTTACAGTTGCGAAAACACGCTACATCGTCTGACAATGAGTGTTACATTAGTACAGTCAAGGGAAAACGTATGCTATAAGTCTTTGTAAAATGTAAGAACATTGCAAGTGTTTTCAAGTTTATGAACGATAATATGTAATGACAATGGCTACGTTTAATAGAAAAAACAGCTTTACAACTGTTGTAAAATTCTTTAATAAAATAAGATTGATTCTTACTTTTGGTTCCTTATGAAATTAAATGTACGACACAATCATATTGAAAAATTTTATAACAGTTGCAAAGCTGTTTTCTGTGTTAAATGTAGTCAATGCAGACACAAAAGCACTGACAGTATGTTTCCTGAGCTCAATTTAGGTACGTAAATCTTTATGGTACCATTAACGACAGTAATATTTGAATTAAAAATAATTTTAAAAAAGAATATATGTTTTTCTACTAGAGATAAAAAGTACGTAAAAATGTATCTGAAAATGTATCTAAAAAAACAGATCAGATACCGCCTTTTGTATCTAGATACAGATATTCCAATTCGAATATATTTCACATATAAGCTCAGATACACAAAATGTATCTCTATACATATATTTAGATATATGTATCTAGATGTTACCCGCAACACTGCCTCTCGTAAGATTTCACATTAGAATAACGTCATTTACATGCGTACAGTGGCTGCATGGATGCCTTTATACTTGAACTTTTGAATTTTAAACCTAGATATCTGAGTATAATGTATATTGCAATTAATGTAAAATGTGTCGAGTGACAATACATCACTAGATTAAAATTGTTTACAGTGAAAGTCAGGCCGTATTCTTCACGCGTATATTATTTGGTCGGGTTTATATATTTATATTTTGTGTGTGTATGTGTGTGTGTGGGCGCGCGCTCAACAAACTATGAGTATATTACATAAAATAGATGTAAATATATATTATTTAAAAAATATATATAATATAAAATAGTTCAAATAATATAAATTAAATAAAAGTATGTTGAGAAAGGCTACGAATCAGTTATAATTTTGATACTTAAAACATAAGATTTATTGTTCGTGAATAACAATATAAATAACAAATGTTTCGATTCCAATCGGATCATTATCAATGTTAAGTATATAATATGATTAAGAGACGGTTATAAACAATAAAATAATAAAAAGATTAGAAATAAACTACGAGCTTAACGTAATTGAAGAGTTGCTCTTGGAAATTATTATTTCTATAATACGTGGATCGTTCGATAAGTCTATGCAAAGTTTGAAATATATAGCACCACCAGTATATATCGAGAAGAAAATTAGGAAACGATAACTAGGAAGTAGGAAGAAAATAGAGGAGGAGGAAAGAGATTATATGATGTACAGATATGAATCTGGTAATATTTTCGTGTCATTCTTATTTAAGTTTTTGCTTATCCTGTTTTTGCTTTTTAATATTTATTTGTAATCTTTTTATTTTATTGTTTAACCGTTTTAATCATATTATGTACCCTGATAGCAAAATGATGCCAAATTGCGCGTAAATTGGCAGCAAACTCGATCAGATCTTGACTACAAAACCGTAGCCATCTGCGTCCGCATTTGGCTATGGATTTGGCCACAACATTTGCTGAGATGTTTTGCAACAGATTGGTGACAAAAACCGAGCAGAGTCTGCTGACATGATTTGAGGTTGGCAACAAATTGTAGACAGAGTCTGTATTGTCAGCAAACTGCTGCTAAACTGCTAACAACGCCTGTTGACATATTTTACAGCAGATTGGTTGTAAAAACCGAGCAGAGTTTGTTGACAATTTTTAATTGCAGAAAGGCAACAAATTGTAGACAGAGTCTGTATTACTAAATATTGCCAGCAAACTCTGTTCGGTTTTTGCTACCAATCTGCTATCAGATCATGTCGGCAGACTCTGCTCGGTTTTTGTCACCAATCTGCTGCAAAACATGTCAGCAAATGTTGTCACCAAATCCATAGTCAAATGCGGACGCAAATGGCTACGGTTTTGTAGTCAAGATCTGATCGAGTTTGCCGCCAATTTGCGCGCAAATTGGCATCATTTTGCTATCATGGTAATAAACTGCTGCCAAACTGCTGTCAACGTCTGCTGACATGTTTTTGTCAGCAGACGTTGACAGCATGTCAGCAGATTGGTAGCAAAACCCGAACAGACAATATTTGGTAATACAGACTCTGTCTACAATTTGTTGCCAATCTGCCATCGAACATTGTCAGCAGGTTCTGCTCCAAATCTGTTTCCACAGACTTTGCTATCAGAGTACTTAACATTGATAATGACCAGCGAAAGGAGTCTATTGTTTATATTTTCATCTTAACTGTCATTTACGAACAATAAATCTTATGTTTTAAGTATCAAAATTATAACTGACTCGTAGACCTTTTCAACGTACTTTTATTTAATATATATCATTTATATCTATATTATGTAGTACCAGTTAGACTCATGGTGTGCACACGCGCGCGCGTGTATGAATAGAGCGCAGATATTCCTTTATATTAATTTTACCTTTCCATGCTAATGATACCAATTGATACTCATGAATCTAGTCGACAATAGTCGACTTCTGTTTCAATTCTCGTTCATGCCGTTGGATTCTTTAGAGGCTCGTGCGCTTTGATAGTAACATTAGTAATCGATACCTCAGGTACTTACGTTAAATAGTTCGCAGTACTTGCGACGCCAGTACTTGTTTGCATATACGAATACATCCAATCGGAACGAGAAGACATTATAAGCCTATTGAACTTGAAATAGATTTGAGAAAAAGACCACGACTTTTCAGAGAGAGAGAAGCTCGAAAAGTTTTTTTTTTTCATTACGTTGATCGTGTTTTACGGTTGTGCATAGAAAAATAAGTTTATAGACACTTAAATCCAAATTCCAAGTGAAGATTCTATTAAACAATGTCTAGACCATTTTCGACTTGACAGCCGCGGTTGCCTTTTTCCCTGTGAGACGAGTCATCCCCGTCTTGATGCACTTCTTTCCTCTTGCCATCGTTTCCAGTATTCCCAGAGTTTTCACTATTATTCGTTGAATTCGCGGAATGGGACTTGTTCAATAGAGAGCTAAACTCACCAAATTTTAAAATTTCTTCCATTGCAGATTGCTCCAAATTAACCTAAAACGTATACAAATGGCTGGTATCTGAATAGGCTATCAAAGATAAGCTCAGCTACATACAGTCCGTCATGAAAGAGCGCTAGAAAACATTATATTATTATATTTTAAAGAGATATGAGAAATGAATATATAGGAATATGAGGCCATAAGGTAGATTAGATATTACTAGAAGATTAAAATAATTATAAACAGTGAAACAGTCACGAGATAATTAACTCCTAAGTACACTAAGAACAAGAACGAAGGATTCCAAGCTGAAATCCCGGTCGGTTGAGTAATTTTTTCGGGTGCTTATAATTTAAGTAGCAAATTGTTTCAGCAAATACACTGACGATGACTTTTCGTCATTTTGATGTCAAAATGACAGTAAATATAACATCAGCTTTTTTTTTCTGAGACAATGCTAAGTACAATACAGATAAACATTCTTATGTGACGGGCTGCAATTCTAAATTCTTCAATTTCTCTGTAGTTTCTCTACCTTACGTGGCCTGCCGCGTTTGTTTTTTGTCGGTGACGGAGAGGCTGTTTGACCGCTCTTCATCTTCGGCCATTGCAAGTGCGAATCCAAATGTTGCTTCAATTTGTCTTGCCTAGCGAACATTCGTGGGCAGATACTGCAAGCAAAAGGTCTTTCGCCCGTATGCACTCTTCTATGCCTCGCCAAGTGTGATGCTCTTGTGAAAGCCAAAGTACAAAGGTCGCAGGTAAAGGGTTTGTGTTGCGCTTTTTCAGATCTGCTAAGGATCCCTGTCTCTCTTTCTCTTCCCTCATTTCCTCCTGTTTTATTCATGATCTCGAACTTCCTCTTTAATCCTGTCATCAACGGTTCGTCGGAACTCTTTGAAGTTTCCTGTAAATTAATAAACAAAATCATTTCAAAAGCTTTGCGAGAGCGATTATAAATCAGAGCTTTGGTGAAAAAATTGTATCTGATAATTATATTTGATAATTTATATCTGATAAATTATATCTTGTAATTTTTAAGAATTTGTCATATTTAAAAAATTTTTTTTAAACATTTCCAGAGATTAGAATGAGTTGGACCTAGCGAAATAAGTACGGTGAAAATGCTTCCACGGCTTTCAATGTTGATCTCTTTTTCTAAGGTTACTCATATAAAAAGACGCTTACATATCAAATTTTAGGTTTTTATATATATGTATATGAAGACATGATCAAGTTAGAGCAGAAAAATAATTTTTTTAAATTTACAAATTTTATTTAGTAAAAATTTAAATAAAATTCTGAAAAATCGGTTACTCCGAAATACTAATAAGGATATTTTTTAATTTTTATTTAATGCGAATTTCGATTCTAAAAAAAAAAGATGACTTTTAAACATTTTTTTACCCCGATTCCGCTGATTGACCACCTTAACAAAATTCCATGTGAATTTCTGTTCAAGTTTCTACAAAATATATTTTTTTTAGATTTTTTTCAAAAGAGATGACCACATTGACAAAAAAAATTATATCTTTTTGTTAATTTAAAAAAATGAGCAACACAAATCATCTTTATCAGTTCCCTGGTATGTACACTTGATATCCTCGTTCCTTCGTTGTTTCGTAACATCCCGAAACCCTCTATCAACTACGCAAATACCGTCTGGTTTCATAATTTTTTAGAAACCATTAGGATCATTTAGCAGTATTTTCATTATTTTGGCGTCATTTTGAGTTGCATAGAAAGGTCCTTCCATTTCAACAATACAACAATTCGTTGGGCAAATGGTAAATGGTTTACACAATGATTTTTTTTTCTACCCTGAGATTTTCGTTAATAATTGTTGTTCGTACTTTTTTCATGACGAATATGTGTTCCATCAAATATTAGTACCATTTGTTCATTCAGTTCATATAGCTCTTTAGTTGTTTCAGACGTGATTACTGATGAGTTCTTTGCAAAATAGCCTGGAATATTCGAAACAATTCGGTAAAATATTTTTTTCAAATGAATTCATAACTTCTTTACAATAATCCGAGACTTGTTGCGCACAGTCAAGTTCAAGAACAACTGCGATCATACTGTTTGAATTACCAGTTCTTTACTTGAATAGAAAAACTACCAAAGCTAAAGTATAATATACGCATTAATACGTGCCTTGAATCTATGCTGAATACGATAAAAAAACTTTGAAATTGAGTTCTACTTTACCATTTCTTAGTCCAATATGTCGCTCCCAGAGCTGTTACTTCGTTGCACATCGTGACAACATTTATCTTATATAGAAACTATGCGATTTATACTCACAAAATAGTAGTCCACAGGCAAGTAGTTTACATGAAGAAACATCGTGGAGTTCTTATGATTGGATTTAGATGTCTAATTAAGACGTAATTATAATATGAAAATTTATATATGTGTAGCGTGTGAGTGAGATATTGATGTAGTGATGTGTCAATGATACGTAATTGTCTTGGTATAAGTGCTATTTCAAATGTGACTAATCGTTTTAAGGATCTCTTAGCGAGATGGATTTCTGTAAGGTCAGCATAGTACACAATCATAATGAGTATTTCATATACAGGGTCTCCCGCAGCTACCGTATTTTTTTTGAAGACGCATTTTTTTGATAATTTTATGATCAGAATTTTAATATAAAAATATCGAGGCTATATAATAGTTTTTAAATTAATCGTAATTAAATTTCGCTAATCACAGAGCTGACATTTCGCGCGCTCAGGCATGGCAATACAACAAATGTTTAAACAATACGAAAAATGTACAAATATTTTTCACACAACTTTCTGAAAAATATTGCATGTTAAGAGGCTCTCGTGTTACATTCATGATTTGTCAAATCGTTATACCTGACCGCGCGAAATGTTAGCTCTGTGATTAGCAAAATTTAATTGCGATTAATTTAAAAACTATTATAGCCTCGACATTTTTGTATTAAGATTTTCGTCATTAAATTATCTCAAAATATGTCCTTAAGAAAAAATGCGGTAGTTGTAAGACACCTTGTATTATTTTTTCCAACTCACATTCCAATATTTGGATTTTATTACACTTTTATATTTCTGGAAGGCACATTGTATCTGAATGTATAGAATCTGTGATGATTTAAATCACAGTTGTACATAAAAATCTTTTTTAATTTAGAAAATGACAATTTATGTCTTACTGTTATTGTCAAAGAATAACATCTTAATTCTTAGGTCATGTGTGTTTGATTTGTGTGCGCAAGCATACATGAAAGGATTTTGTAATTTGAACATCGTCTACCGAGCACCATTAGTACTAATTCAAAAACCTGATTTTGATCACGCTTTTTCGATGTAGTTCGGTCTTCAGGGTCTCTATATTCCATGGTTGGTACTATTAGATAATGATTGTAATAAAGGTGGTAATGTGTACCAGATTGTTGATATAGAAGGACTCCTGTTGATGTTGATGGAGTTTGTACATCATCCTCTCGATCTCTCGGTTTCTTCCTGTAGATAATTAATCGACACCGAGCGCATAAAATGTCACCAATTTGTACTGGTTTCCCGATCTTGTTACTGTATTTAAGTGATTCATCGTCATTTTGCACTATTTTACGTCTTTCATACTTCCGAAGGGGCAAGGAACAATTTACACATGTTGCTCCTCTTTTTAAAGTTTTCTTAATAAACTTTGTGGGTGTATCTTTTTTATATAATTTATGTGTCGATAACATTACTGATTGATTCTGAAATAAAAAGCAATCCTTAATATTTCTCTGTCAAATAAAATTTATTTAAAGACATATAGCAAATATTTTACAATCTCAAATATTTGCCTTTTTCGCGTCCAAGAAACGTAGAAATAGACACTAAGAAGTAAAAATATGTATTTGGATAAATATTCAGTAATGAGACTACCCTCCAAGGACCTTGACCTTGACGTATGTTGTCAAGATCATGACACCAATGACCATGAACAAATTTTAGCCGTCACTCGTTGTTTGTTAAAAAGTTATTAACAAAAAAAGTTAATCAATAAAACCTAACTTTTGGACATGACTACACTCCAATTAAACAAATTCCCTGCTTTAACAGCGAAAAATATTTTCTTATGTAATTTCTTATAAAATTTTTGTGTCTTTAGAGCAGAGAATTTGTATTTTTTAAAACATAAAATTTTTGTTTTAAAGGAAAAAAGTGGTTTTAAAGCAAAAAATTTATAAAGTAAAAAATATTATATTACGTATAATTTCAAAATGTATAATATAAGTACTGAGAAGATGTACAACATAAAATTCCACATACAAGCGTAGAAATTCGGACAAATTCTCTGCTCTAAAGACACAAAAATTATATAAGGAATTATATAAGAAAATAGGTTTGTTCTTTTTGAAGACGGTGCATGCACTTTCTGTATCTAGTGAAAGGTGCAGAACATTGTACGTTTTATTTGCCGGAACTTACGTCAATACAAAATAATGCACACATTCTATTTATATGACGGAACATTTGAAAATTGATACACAGAATTTTTGTACCATCTCTTGAGATAGTGCACCGTACAGTACATACATCGAAAATCAAAATAAAGGAGAATTACTGAAGAAGTATGTACTTAAATTATTAAAGGAGGATGTACTTTCATCGTCAGTTTCCATCTATATTTTTTATTTAAAAACTATTTTTTTAATAACCAATTAACCTTTGTGCAACATGTACTGTGTATGTATCAAATAGCGTTCTTTTTGAGAACTTGAACTGATCTATTTGTACCGCGCGCACTGTGACATTTTCAATTGTACCATGCGTACTACGTACGAAAAGTTCCTGCACGGTATTTTCAAAAAGAACATACATAATATTTTGCGCTGTTAAAGCAGGGAATTTGTTTCATCGGAGCGAGTCTCTCTATTAACGACTTTTTTTTTGATAATAACTTTTTAACAAATAACGAGCGAGACGGCTAAAATTTGTTCAAAATCACTCGGGGTCATGACCTAGACTATATGTTAAGGTCACTTGAGGTACCTTACACTGCATAATTAATATTTGCTATGTATTTTTAAATAAATTTCATTTGACAAAGAAATGTTAAAATTTGCTTTTTATTTCAGAATAAACCAGTAGTGTTATCGATATATGAATTAGACGAAAAACAATTGTTTAAAATGTTAAATTGACTCACAAGCTTTAGAAAGAGAGCTTTAAAAAGAGACGCAAGATGTGTAAATGTGCCTTTCTGCTCCGGAACAATGAAAGACGTAAAAAAGTGCAAAATGACGATGAATCACTTAATTACAACAACAAGATCGGAAAGCCAGTACAAATTGGTGACATTTTATGCGCTCGGTGTCTATTGATTGTCTATAGAAAGAAAACGAGAGATCGAGAGGATGATGTACAAGCTCCATCAACAGGAGTCCTCCCATTTCAACAATCTGGTTACATTACTACTTTTACAATCATTATCTAATAGTACCAACACTACCAACACTCACAGTCATCTGCTGATGATCTATCATTCGTTCCTCGATTGAATCAAAAAGAAAATGAGGAATGCCATTTCAGCGAATTATAGCATAAATTCTGTTTTCTCTGGAGTCAATCAAAATAATTACTGTGTTATTTAAAGTCCGATTACAAGTCCGATTTAAAAAAAAAAAGATTTTTATTCCTCGAGGGAATCAGTATTACTCTATACATATCATAAAAAAAAAATTTTCAGAGACTAATTAAACAATATGAAATTATACTCAAACCTTAGTACAATAGAAGTATTAGATCATAAGAATTTCGTCAACCAGTTGTCCGACAACAGTAATTATGGATCATTATATGTTGAACGCTTAAAAACATTCACTGGTCACAGTTAAATAGGAAAACATTGATAAATTGTGTGGCATGAAGATGCCGATGAGAAATTCAAAACTCGGACTGTTTTGCAAGCTTTAGTAGTTTTCCTATTCAAGTAAAGAACTGGTAATTCAAACAGTACGATCGCAGTTGTTTTTGAACTTGACTGTGGGCAACAAGTCTCGGATTATTGTAAAGAAGTTATGAATTCATTTGAAAAAGATGTTTTACCGAATTGTTTCGAATATTCCAGGCTATCTTGCGAAGAACTCATCAGTAATCAGACGTCTGAAACAACTAAAAAAAACTATATAAGCTGAATGAACAAATGGTACTAATATTTGATGGAACATATATTCGTCATAAAAAAGTACGAACAATTATTAACGAAAATCTCAGGGTAGAAAAAAATATTGTGTAAATCATTTACCATTTGCACAACGAATGGTTATATTGTTGAAATGAAAGGACCTTTCTATGCAACTCAAAATGACGCCGAAATAATGAAAATACTGCTAAATGATCCCAACGGTTTCCAAAAAATTATGAAACCTAGCGATATTTGCGTAGTTGATAGAGGATTTCGGGATGTTACGAAGCAACGAAGGAATGAGGATATCAAGTGTTCATGCCAGCTCTAAAGGGAAAAGGAACACAACTGAGGACTGAAGAATCAAACTCTCGCGATGGGTTAATAAAATTCGTTGGGTTGCTGAAGCGATTCATGCAACTCTCGGACAGAAATACCAACTTCTTCACCATATACTGGATAATAAAGTCCTCCCAAAAGTTCGACTATACTTCAAAATTACTTGATTTTTAAACAATATTTTTGGCAAGAGACTCAATTCTGACTTTGGAGCTTCGAATGTATACATATACAAAAACTGTCATTTGTTTAATTATTTACATAAAAAGAATGGTCCTTTGAAGCTCTACATCCTATTAGATCGACATAACTGAGTTGCTAAAACTCATCACAAGAAAACAGTTATATGAACATTGGGGATTACCGCCTCAATTATCGCACTTCGTCAATTGTTTTAACAACGTCTCATCTCATTTGTTATTAAGCAGATCTAATGAAAAATCTTAATATACTTTTATTCCTGTAATATCAGCTATAAATAAATTTGCATTTAAAAATAATATTACAAAAAATACACTCGCACTTTAATGATTGAAAACATTTAACTCATTTTCTGGAAAACTTGATATTTTTTAATTATGTCGTTCCGGCAAATGTTGAACGATATGTATACAGAAATATTCCCTTTTTCTCTTTCTCTTTTTTTTATGTGTACACACAACACACGCGCACGAACGCGCGCGCTCTTCACATATACATAGGTATACATGACATTCATAGGTTATATGCATAATATATACAGAGATAGAAAGAGAGAAAAAGAGGGAAAGAGAATTTTGCAGCAAAAATGCAACTGCACATTGCAGAAAACAATTAAGTATACGTTTCGCTACTACAGATGGGGTGGACTTTGCTTCGCATGGAAAGTCTCTAGATAGAAGAGGGATATCAGGTGGATCTCGCTTCGTGGAATTCATTACAAAATCACAAATTCCTTGCTTTAAAAACAAAAGTTATATAAAAAAATGTTTTTAGAGAAATAAATTTTGTTTTTAAAACAAAAAATTTACTTTAAAATAGAGAAATTTTGTTTCATATGGTAGAAGAGACGTGATTTTCTAAACTTATTAACAGATAACGAGCGACGGCTAAAACCTGTTAGAGGTCATTAAGAGTCATGACCTTGACAACATATGACAAAATTATTTGGGGGAGTTACACTTACTTGTATGTCCGATATCGTGGCATCTATCGATCCGTCATTGAGATTAGGCTCGCATTCAATAATCCTTGAGGCATCTTCAGAATTTGATTCTCGCGGGGAGTCTTTTAATCTCGATTCCGGTGGATCGTTATTCCGTGTAACACGACCCACGGATACTCTCTTCTGCCCTTTAAATCTAGTTTCCCGCTTATACATCGGAGGAGGTATACATCTCTGAAAATAGTTATAACAAATATTCAGATTACTATTTATTTTTTTTCTAAATTATTGAATGTAAGTCTCCATGGATGTACCCAGCTGGGAGGTAAGCAAAAATCATCGTCACACAAAATTTATTAAAATATTTACATTAAAGTTAGCCTATGAAAATCTTGAATAAACTTTTTTTTACAAATAACGCGTGAATCACCAATTGTTTGATTTTTTATTGTAAAAATAATTTCTATAATTTTAATTGTTTATTTTTTTGCCAAAACTTATAACGAGGCAAACGGCCCCTCTGCCCTTCTTTTGTGTACATCCATGTGGATTCCCGTGTCGACGAAAAGTGAGATCAAAAAACGTAAACGATCATCAGATAAAATCTCGCAAAATAAGCTAAATCGTATATCCTTTGAGTTTACAATTTGCGTTTCCATGGATCGCGGAAACTCGTCGAAGCTATCCTCATTCCCATCAATCACCATCGGATCATCTTCCACTTCGATGTCATCCATTTTAATGTGATCCTCCATTGCATTGATGGTTGAGTGTTTCGGTAGGAAAGGAATTACCGATGGTTCTTTGAAGTATTCGGTAGTGTGTACTCTAGTTTCAATATGGCATCGTTGCATCCGTGTCTCAACCCTGGTATAGAGGTTGCGGTTGCTCTCCTGATTTCTCGGTTCCCCAGAGAGACCACGTATTTCCAAATCGGTGGCAGTTTTTATAAGCGAGGGAAGATGCTCCTCCGCTACATCGATGGATCCTCTGTACATGAAATCCAAGAGGCATTCCATTTCCTCAACAGCAACACCTAAGCGGTAAAAATACAGTGTGTCAGGATACATTTTAAATTCTTTAAATTTAGAAGTTTTCGAAGAGGTGATATAGATACTTGAAGATAAAAAGATTTCGAAATAAAGATAAGGACAAAACTCTCTCTTTCTCTCTTGCATGATTTTTAAAGTTTGTTTACGCGTGATATTTACCGTTACCCTTAGAAAAAGTAATAAGTAAGCCTCGAAAAAAGTACAGCTTTTTTTAATTAAAAAAAATAGAAGCTTGATTTTTTATGTATATGTTTATGGATCGCAAGCTTTCATGAAATCCAACTTTCATGAAAAGATTTTACTGCTATGTAAAAACAGCTTGTAATCCTTTCTCTATTTTTGTTTCTCTCAGATGAAATATTCAGTATACGAATTAAAAAAAGCTCGTGCAAACTTGAAACTTTCTTTAAATGTTTAATTTAAAACATTATGAATGTTTCATCAAAATATCATCAATGTATACCTTTTAAAATGAGAATGGGTTGTTCTCCATAATGTTCCTTAAAGACTCTTTCAAAATAAGGGCTGCACGCTGCTAGTACCAACCTATGGGCTCTCAACATGCCACCCTGACAAGCCAAAGTCGCGTCCGTCAAGGAGCCACTTCTGTAAAGAGCTTCAAACAAACCTGACAGATTTGCCAAGTGATTGTTCCATGTAAGGTTGAATGTCTTATTGTTGTCCATTTTATCGAGTATTACTTATTAATCTGAAATATATAAAAATTTCGTATTTTAGCAACATCACAGTAGGACAAATTAATTTGAATGCAAAAGAGTATGTTTTTTTTTAAATGCATATAGAGGAGACCGGAACTGGTTATCGTATGGGGTTAATTGTCAAAATGTTTATAACTAAAAAATCTCTTTTTTTGACTGCAGATTGCTGATATAATACTAATTTGTCGTATAAAATGGTTTGTACCAAAAATATTGCATATCAATATTATTTACAATGATTTTTAAGAAAATAAAGTTGGTAAGTTTTTCTTATCTATTTTATTGTCTGACAAGTCTTTGACATTTTATTATAGTCGCGATATTCTTGTATTCATAGAAAATGATACGTCTTAGAAAATTTTACTAAAATTAATTATCCTGACAAAGTTAATACGCAAAGAGAAAGATATTATTTATTATTAGGGATAAATAGATATTTGGAATGAAATATTAAAATGGCCCACCCTGTACATATATAACATATATACAATAAATGACAGAATTGATTATTCGAATTTTAGAGAAAATACACAAGATTAAAAAACAGAACGAATAAAACAAAATTAAAGAAAAGCAAAAAAATATACAAAAATAATAAGTTGAAATAAAGAAAAAGAACAGATACAAAGAGTGATAGCAGTAGTGGAGAGAGGAGGGGGGGGAGAGAGAGAGAGAGAGAGAGAATGATAGAAAAGAGAAGAATCGAAGGCCGTATAAAGATAAGAGAACTGATAGGTAGAGGTTCTATAGGAACGGATAGCAAGGTCGGAGGGTGAGATTACGGCGAGAATGATTATGAGGATTGACATGAGGATAGAGGTAGGAAGCAATGTAGGATGCCGGAATGGATGATGGAGAAACTGAAACAACACGTAAGAAAGTCTTTCTGCCATCATCGGCGGAGAGCCACTCGAGTGCATTATAGAAAGGCGAGATGTTCATTTTTGCGTAAATTATATATAAAGCATACGCAGTTGGTCATAAGACGTTTTAGACTAAACCTCTGCTGGCCAGTTAAATCAGTGAAGAAGATAGCGCATTAATCGAACAGAAGGGAGATGAGGGAAGACATCAGTCATATACACAGCGAGATGGGAAGACTATTTTTTATGTTATTTAAGCCTCCAGAGAAAACCATTGACCCTATTGGAGATAACTCTTGTTTGTTAAGATTAGCTCAAGATGCTAATATTATAATAAGAATACCCAGATTTGTAGCCTGAGCATCTACCTTAATAGGACAGTCGTTAAGCTTGATGATGTACGTCGAAGTGAAACTATTGTCACATTATATTATACTAGGAAGGGGAAAAGGAAGAGAAAAAGAAAATGATAGTGCGATTCTTTATCTCAATAGATTTTTTTAAACTCACCTGTTTGCACTAGATACTTTTTACTATTAATTTATGTTACTGAAGCTATAGAATTATCTCTACTAAGTAAGGAGAAAAAAGTCAATTAAGATAAATGACCAAAGTAATTATTCCTAAACCTTGTTTCGCATAGAAAGTTCAACACCCCTTGGTAGGGGGCCTACAAAATAATTTATATAGTAGAAATAAGACGTTATTTGTTAAATTTTTTGTTAATATTTTCTTAACAAATAACGAGTGGCGGCTAAAATTTGAAAACCTTGATAGAAATTTCTTCGTAGGTATATAGTTAATAAAAATCTCAATTTTAGAAACATACATATCTATTTCCAATAAAATATACGAGTATGCCCATATATTGCATAAGCATTTTCCCATGCCACTGAGTATCTTCCTAATGTTAAATAAATTCTCTTTTATGAGTCATGTATATCTCTCCTTTTCTCAAGAATATCTCCCTTATGAATCGTGCGTATCTTTTTAAAGCGTGTATAAACCTAGCAAACAAACACCAAACGAACAGCAAACGTAAAAGTTTGTGTTTTATTTATTACATAAAAGTCTCACAAGTTTAATTGCTAAAATGTTAGTATTCAGTGTAATAAAAAGAAAGAATAAACTGTTTACAAATACAAACACGAATGTTAGAACATTCGCATCAGACGCGAGCAAATACAAGAAGCGAAACAATATTTTGAGTTGTTGATTCACCTTGGCATCCTGAGTTATTTCCTAACAAATTTTGGTATGCGTTCGCTAGGTGTTTTTTGCTACGCGGCTTTATGAGAAAATTTTAAAGATACCACCCTAAAGCCGTAATTACACTAGCGATTATGCGATTGTGAGTGACAATTAAGGATTACTTTCCAACCAATCAGAGCAAAGCAGTCACCAATTGCTTTGCTCTAACTGGTTGAAAAATAATCCTTAATTGTCACTTACAATCGCACAATTGCTAATGTGATTACGGCTTAAAGAAAGGCGGCAACATTATATGAGAATTCCTCAATAACATCAAAATGTTGGAAGTGCATGGGTATAGTGAATGATGATGTGATTGAAGTTTGAGCGTTCATAGAGCAAAAGTAAGCTAAAATTAAACAGGTAGACAATTAACGATCTGTCGTACGTATGACCAAATATTTTCGTACGACTAAAAATTTCCTACCTTTGTCTCCGCGTTTGAACCCAAAGTCTATATCTGATTGTGAGTCCATTGACGATAAAAAAAATATTTCGTTGAAATTCTAGTCCCGGAAATGCTCCGAACAGTTTGAAACTGAGTTCGAAACTCCGACGCGTTTCTGTATTATATGCGATCAAGAATTTTCTACGTTTGCCCTTGAGTTTAAAACCAAAATTTACAAGCTACGAGAGCAATGTCTAAGAAAATAAAAAAACATAATTTGTTGAAATACCGTATACGGACGTGTTTCGAATTATTGAAAACTCCTGCTCGTTCTCTCGTACGTTTTCATCAAAAGTTTTCATTTATTGTTACATTTCTTTTAAGAGATTCTACCATTTTCCATGAAGGATTACATTTGTTTTCTTCTTGACAACATTGGATGATAGAAGTTAAAATTGAATTATATACATAATTATATTTTTTGTTTTATTATCATTATATTTAAAGAGTTTTACATTTCTCAACGTATTATTGCAAGGTGGAGGGGGGAAGAGAAAAAGAGAGAGAGAGAGAGAGAGAGAGAAAGAGTTATTTGTGGCCACGTATCAGATATTTCTGATATCAAATTTAATGAGAAAAGCAAAGGATTATTATGTCATATTGTAATTAAATTTCATTTATACACATATATGTGTGATTATTTGTTCAAATTATGTATTTATAACCGAAATCTCTCATCTTTAATAATTTCATATTTCAATATATTATTAGGTCTACAACTTAATTCTCGGTTATTATATATATTCAATCGATTACAGCACTTATTCAAATTTGAATCTTTTTTTCGCCATACAGTCGTTTTGGGTCATCCTCAAGTTTTAATAAAAGATATAGTATATATATGGTAATAATAGGTATAGTATATCGCTCCACAATCGCTCCAAATGTCAATAACATAACTATGTTAATGGTTTTATGAATGAAGTCCATATTCATAAAATATGCTTCTAAATATAATTCAAATTTTCAAGGATGGGTGAAATGTTCAGATCGTGTTAATGTTTCTGTCAGTTATATAATAATATATTGCAAATGGGGGTGCGAACAAACGGCCAACTTTGTTACACCGATGCGACGGGGAGACGGTTGTCTATTCACGCAAGCGATTTGCCGTGGCGGATCTGCTACTCACAGATAAGTGGGCGAGATAAGCAATGAATCCATCGCGCCAGATCCATCTATGCATGCGAGCAGCTAGCTTTCTCTGCTGTGACGGGGTTGAACATTTGTTCGCATCGATACGTTACTTACTGCATTTGTTTCCGCCATCTTTATTTATGTTACTGGAGAGTGTATTAGAAATTTGAAATAAATTGATGAAAGGCGTTATTAAAGAAAAAGTAATGTTAATACAAGCATATTTAGTTGTTAAACAAGTGCAATTATTCTATTCTTTAATTGAAATACAATTTATTTAAGAATATAATTTACTTTTGTTTTAAGAATGATTTTTATTCTGAATCGAACTGATTATTCTTGGCACTATTTTAAGCCTCTTCTATTAAAATATTCTTAATTTAAGACATCTTTTAATTTCTTTAAAAATCTACTTTCTTATTTGTTAAATATAAAAATTTTGTTGACATTAAAATTTTTTTCGTCTTTTTGTCTTCTATAATATTTCTTGTGCTGTTTACCCATGCAAGACTTCGTTTCAGACAAGTAACATGAGTAGTATGAGTTATGGGACTCCAAAGAGAATAGCCTAGAAGCGGCCTATGACAGGAAGAGAATTCTACGGTAATTTTCTTACTGTCGCAGATCGCTTATTCGTTGGCCATTCCCTATGGAGCCCCATCACTCGTACGTACACTATTCATGTTGCTGAAAACTGACAGTCTTGCGCCTGTAGATACATACATACACATGAATATCCTAAATAGATACCCATGAGTACATACTTGTGATTATGAAGGAAATATCCACAAGTAGAAACTCCAATTCTCCCTACGATGAGTATTTCCTTTTTTGTTTTTCTATCTATAAGATTTCCACCAGGGAGGATCATTATCTTGACAATATTATATATGTACGTCCAGATTAAAGTTATCAGAAAAGCTTCCCCAAATTGGCATATTAGCATAATACTCTATTAATTAAGAGAAAAGCAACAAAAATAATAGTGGTTCGTTAGTTTTCAAATTAACGAGTTACTTTTATGAAGTAACTTTGCCAACCTTTGATCTTATATTGATCGTGTGAGGGCCGCATTAGAGTATGAAGATCCTATTTGACAGCTAAAATACAAATAAAGTGTAACGTCTAAAAACGTCGAAAAACTAATAGTTATTTAAAAAGATAAATGATGTAAAGTATGAAAAAATATTAACGGAAATAAGGGTCGAATTCTGCATAGTTAAAGCACAAATTAGCAAATACAATATATAATCTTAATAAATCATAAAAAAAAGTGTATCCAAACGTCTCGACTTTTTGAAATTATTCCAAAAAACGAAAAATTATATGTAATCTCATAAGTTTCAATAGTAAAGACGGAGATTTATCAAAAATGTATAAGAAAGGATATATCAATCACAGCAGGTGCACAGCTGAATGATGTTAAGTCGGTTCAAAAATATCCACAAAAAGTTAAAAAGCATAGAGAGGATTATAATAAAATTAATAAGCACAATAATGTTTATAAAAAAAGTCAGTAAATTAATATTAAAAACGATTAATCAATAGATAGGCATAATTTAAAAAAGGAAATAAATAATCTTGTAAATAGATATTGTCCTTGACAGAACCTAAAATCGATTAAATGTGTTTATCACTTTAGAATAATTCGTAACTATCTTTAGCATTAAAACCTGACTTGATTTATAAGCTAGTCTTTTTTATAGTATATATAGCATAGTTCATAGTGCAGTCATTAGGTCTGTTCTTTATTCCCTGCAGGAAATAAAGAACAGACTTATAAATCCTCATGTTTGTTTACATCGCTGGCTGTTTATATCTTACATAAGAATATACATTTTTTTTATACGAGTATAAGGCTTCTTGTATAAAGTCTCGGCGATCTAGAGACTTAGGATGCTTGTTTGGAATATTAAAAATCCGAATACGACTCCCGACCGAGGTATTATTTTTCACAATAAAGAAATTTATTTACACATTTCCAGTATTAAGATCTCTTTAACAGACATCTATTGAGCATCAAAATTTAATTCTGATATTATTACAGTAGTTCAGCTGTGTTTCTAAGTCCACAAAAATGAATTTGGCACATGTGTATATTTATAATATTTAAGCATTAAAGATTTAGCTTCGACCATTTATAGGCCGTTATTCCTCATTTCCTATTCTTGTATTTTCACATGTACGGTACAATAAGATTCTTATAATTGACTCCCACTCACTCACTCACTCTCTCTATCTCTCTCACAGCGAAAACAATCCTGCACCCATATGTCTCACGTCACGGAAATGCGAGACGTGAAGTATTCACAAAGGATGCGCAAACTGAGGAATTTAAAGAACGCGTAAAACTGCGCATCGAAATATTCCTTGCCATGTGCACATGTCTACGATCGGGAAGCTTATTAATCACGTACATACACACGCACATTGTGTACACTATTAGTAACCGCGTACGCCCACGTATGCGGAATACTAATACACTTTCGCGATGGATCCGCGATCGTTGCATCATAAACTCGATCATAAATGAATTTAAGTAATCCCATCGCGGGAGGCAGAGGGAAGGAAGCGATGCGATTCAATCACGCGCTTTTAATCAGCGCACAATTATTCCAATTCCGCGCACAGTGTTATTCACTGACCTGTCACACGTCATTAATGCGCGTCCCATTGATTAATCGCGCGTCGAAAATTCTATATAATTCGAACGAACACAGCAATTATTGGCGTGTATTTTCGCGGGCTCTCCACCTCATGGCGGAATATTCTCCCTACTGCCTCTTCGTCCGAATTAAAATCGATTTCAATACGTTTCTTAATTTCGCCTTGCTTTTAATCAAGCGTTTTTATCAGGTCACTTTACTTACTTACAGTGTCACGGGTTAGAAATGTAGACGGATATCGTGTGCGCCGTGGAGAATCATTGTTGATAAACTCTCGCAGGGGTATATTACACACGCGAAGAAGAAGGGATCTCAAAGGAGAGATTCTCCATCGGGGGAGGGCTCGCGGGCGTTCGGCGTGTGCCATGTACGTGTGTAGAGGGTAACAACGGCGAATAGTCATGCGCAGACGTGAACCCTCGCGTAGCCTCGATCCATAATTTTGTTGGTGGACCCCCCCACGCATTTCCAAGGGACTACCGTTCCCTGTGCAGGAATGGGCCAAACGCACCCTTTTTTCCCCCATCTTTTTCTCATCGCGGGCGATGCGACCGGAGCAAGTTCGCGAATGCGTGAAATCGATTGGCGTGACTTTCAGGTGAACGAGTCTAATATTGAATATTAAAAAAAAATAACTGTAAAGCTTACAGGAACGTTCGGTGGCAACTAAAACAATTAATAACAATTCGGACGAATCGTGTTTACAGTTAGAACTTGACTTGAAGGGTTCCTTAAATTTATCTTTAGATGCTCAGTAGCTCATGAAATAATTCGTGGAGCATCTGAAGGTAAGTTGAAGGAAGCCTTAAATTTTAGGCCTGACTATGAATATGGGCTCCGGTATCGTTACCTGCGAGCCTAAGCCGTGAGAAATTGATCAATCACAAAAAAACACAAACGGGAAAAAATAATCAACTATGATTGGTCAATATACCTTATGGCTTAAGAGCTTTGATAATGTCTGATTGTACAAAGTCCATTAGAGATAAGATACGCGCGTTATTAGGGAACAATGTAAGCGAATTCCTGTAATAAACTTGAGCTTGAAGTCCTAAGCCGTAAAAAAAAAAGTTGACCAATCATAGTCGATTATTCTCCTTGCATTCTACTGTGACTGGTCAATTTCTTACGGTTCGAAACTTACAAGCTTCGATAACAGCTTATTGTAACCTCTAAAGAAAAAAAATGCTAAAAAAAAACAACGCGAAAAAATTACGTACAAGTAGAACGCCGAAGTCATAATATTGTGTTTTAACTTATAAGTGTGTTTTTACTTATAAATGAAGTCATGGTGATATCCTACAATATCATGACTCTGTGTTCTATCCGGGTGTATACAAGCTCCGCTAAACTAATCGCGTGGCGATTCTCGCAGTGTAAATTCACGTTGAGAAATGTCGCTCCGACGTGTGACGGCGACAATGTCGCGAAGCGACCTTGAACGTCACGAGCCGTTCTTCCGTCGGGCTCTCGCGTAACTCTGATGTAACGCGTAGTAACCAGTAGCCAATCTGGAAACGATCAGGAACTTTGGTGCGACGAACGGACTAGCGAAAACTGTGAGAGAAACGCAATTGGGCTCATAATACGTCTGGTTGCAAATCGCGCGCTGGTAGCGTGTATATTACTCACGTGCGACTTACGTATATATACGCACATCAGATACACGGTATAACGAGGAGGGGGGGGGGGGAGATCGCCGTGTATATTCCAGGAATGCGCGAGTCTCGCGCGTCCAAGCGCGAAATCGCCAAACGGCGCGAAAGACGTCGGAGTCGCATTCGCCGCGTCACATCGCGCCGCGCCGGTGCCTTCTCACTCTCTCTCTCTCTCTCTCTCTCTGCGAGCTCTATTAATATCCGCGCCTCGACGTCGACGTCGCGTCTCCGGAACGCGCTCCGACGACAGAGGCGCGGGGAAGGAAAATAGGCGAAGAGCGAGCTTTCTCCTCGTGTTCGTAGGCGATTTCCTCTCGGATCGCCTTCGCGAGAAGCACAGTAACGCGTTTTGTGTGTACGAGGTACGTTTTGTTCACCCCGGGTACCTGCGAGCCTCAGGTATTTTGCTCAGGGCGGATAATGATCGCGGGGAATTACCTTTCCTCCTTTTCCGATACGTAGGCCTCGTGTGTTGGAGCTGCGGTGGTGTTTTCGTGCGGCGACCGGGTACAGGGAATGTATATACACACTTGCTGGAAGGGCGGTATTGCGATAAATGTATATATGTCACACGGGAGAAATGAGACTTCTGGTATATACTCTGCGAGGGGCACGGCGCGGCCGACAGCGCAGGCGACGTGTTAGGGCTCCCTCGACCGAGTCGCGACTGATATCATTTCCAGCGGGGGACTGTAGGGTCGGCGGCCAGAACCCCACCAGGGGGTCTTCGTGCAACCCCCACGCGGGCGTCGTAGTAGTAGTCGTGTACGTCGTCGACGTTGCCGCCGCCGTCGTTGTCTTCGTCATCGTCATCATTGTCATCATCCTCGTCCTCGTCGTCATCATCATCAACGTCGTCGCCGTCGTGCGCTTTGCTATAGCCTCTCGAAATCCCCCGCGCACATATATATATATATATATACGCGTGTATATATTTTAGCGTTTCACGGGGAGAACATCGCCGTCTCACTCTCTCTCTCTCTCACTCGCTCTTCCCCTCTCCCCTTTCTCCCTCTGTCTTTTCCCCCTTCCTTTCTCTCTCTCTCTCTCTCTCTCTCTCTCTCATTTTCTCTCTTCTCCTTAGGTTTTCTCTCTTTTTCTCCCTTCCGACACCGAGCCCCGATACGTCTCGCTCGCGCGCACGCCACGACGCTCTTCCCCCCTTATATTGCCCCCTTTGCTTCGTTACGCGTCGTGGGTGCCTTATACCAACGCCCGACGACGCGTCGTGGCGCGGCGTACCCAGCGATTTCCATCCACTCCGAATCCTCGCCCCGACTAGGGGTTGCCTCTTGTTATTATCGGGGAAAACAACGCGCTCCCTCCTTTTGCGAGATCAATTTTTTTTTTTTTTATTCATAATTTTTTTCCACCCCGTGTGCGATAAAGATGACATTCTAGAGATAATTGTAATCTATATCCCAATAGGACAGCTATCGACGTTTCCACCATTAAACACAGAGGTGGCACAAACCCGAAGGACACAAGAGATGCGTGGGCCTCGGGAGACGCGTATAAATACCTCTGCACATAGGGTGTGTCTCGTGCGAAGTGTACTTCTACATTGGGCAATTTTTAATCAATTTCCTCTGGAAGTACACGATATGAACAGTCACTATCTGGATTATTATATCCTTGGTATTCTACATATATCTATATATAATTAATCAGGCTCGAAGTTCTATCGAAATAAGATTTAAAATAAATTTGTTTTCGTAATCTTTGAACTTTATTATTTTATAACTTGCAATAGAAAAGCTACGAGTTCTTTTGAACCTCAGTTCTTTATACGAAAGAAAAATCGACTTGACGTCACCGCAGAGATTTGCATTTTTCAAAGGAAATCCTCGAAAAAAACGCGAAATTAGCAAGTATAGGGAATCATTCTATGGGAACCTTCTCATATGCTAACGCTCGACGTTCATTTTTAGCGTCACGTTAGCAAAATTGACATTTGATATTCGTCAAATGACCATATGGCCTATTTTGGTGCTAAAATGAATGTCAGCATGATACGGTCCAAATCTGTGCGCACACGTTATTTCGATCTCATTCCATTAAAACGGACGCTGTCTGTCTCTCTCTCTCTCTCTCTCTCTCTCTCTCTCTCTCTCTCTCTCTCTCTCTCTCTCTCCCTCTCTCTCTCTTTCTTGGAATTCGAGTCTGTGTCGAATTCGAGTCGAGCACACTAAAAGTATTCTCGTTTAGCGCCTTCGAATTCTGTTTGTATCACACAAGCGATAAGATATCCGCCGCTTGCGAGGAATTCGCTCACCCAGGAAGGAGGAGGAGGAGGAGGCAGTGGGGGGAGGGGGAGGGGGAGGGGGCCAGCGGAAAGTAAAATTTGCTCGTGGAAACGGCGACTGGGAAATGACGCACTCGCGCGCACGAAAATTTGAGCCGAGATCTTGCAACGCGAAACCACGGAGCTCCGCTCCGTTGCGACGCGGTGCATAAGTGTCGCAATACAGCGGACGAGCCCTGACGTGATCTCTCTCGGCGCGTATATTCGTAGCCGTGCCCGCGCCTCGTATCGACGCGACAAACGCGTCGTTTCGTCAGTGCCGCGCCATTGAGGCGGTATTCCTTTGGCGATTTTTGCCGACGAAATTACAGCGTGTGTTTATGACGCGCGTTTATCAATTATTGCGCGATCGCCACGCGATTCACGCGAGAGAGAAAGAAAAGCGTTTCAACATACCAAGCCAATTGATTTTTCGTATTGTGACCCCCTCTCTCTCTTTTTCTCTCTCTCTCTCTCTCTCTCTCTTTTGGTGGCCTAAGTGAGCACGGATAGTCCGGCAACTGATTTGGGGGCAGCGAGCGAATATCGATTCGTTATTTTTAGGGGCAGTCCATCCGCTGTGCGGACCCCACCTACCTTGTCCCCAGAGTTCCGGAGAAAGCCCTTTTTAATGATGATGTTATCACCGCGTGTGATTTATATTTTGAGAAAACTAAAATTTTTTTAATTAACAATTAAAAATTGTCGCGATTGTCGTGATCATAGGGTCGTTCTTTCTTTCTTTTTCGTCTTAAATGATGTACAGCAAAATCAATATTTGACTCTTTCATAAATATTGGCCGGCATTAAACTAATGAAAGTCCATGTAATAGTAAAACATAAAAATATTAAGATTCTTATTTTAATCTACGAAGTTATCATCAGAAGGAATGTAACATCACATCGAATTAAATGGGAAACCGTTTTTACCCGATATTGATAATGTTTTTGGTTCTTGTTTCACATAATATGTATATACATATATATATAGTAATTTAAATTATAATATATTAAATTACATATTAACAAAAATATAAATTTACAATAGCAATTTGTGTATGCATGTAGTTACATTAAATATTTGTCATTACATTGGATATTAATTAGATCGTTAAATATATATTACAGTAGAGACATCCGTATACTTTTACAAGTATAATTATATTTTCATCATCGGACGGTACGTGTTGTCAGCGATGTAACATTGCCCTAGCGCTTAGGACAAAAAATCGGTTGCGTTTATTTAAAACTAATTTTTACGAGTACAAAAATCTGTACTTAGAGGTATTATATTTATTTCTAAACTGTATATTTACGATCACGACCATGTATATAGTCCGTTAAAAAACTTGAGACTATCTAAAACTTCTATTCTAGTTGGGTCAGAATTGCAAAAGTGGCTCAATAATTCTTCGTTGAATCCACAATCGCTCAAATTTTCTTGCCCAAAAACATTAGGCGATATTTTTGTGATACTGTCATCTCCTCTCGTGACAATCACGTGGCCTGTAGAAGTATAAGAATTATATTTTTGCTATTTGGTTAATTTCGTTGATTGATATGCGTATATTCGCGTATCCATACCATGTCTTGCTGTGGAAAATGAAGTTGTTGAGGCCAATTGCGCGCAGCTAACCGAATATTGCTCTAATTGACTGGATTTCATTAAATGGCAGAGAGAAGGCAATACATGGGGCAAAAGAGGTCCTCTCAATTCGAGAGAATAATATCTATCGTTATTATCATGCACTATGCTTTCTCGAACCTTTGTCATTATAAAAAGGAAGAAAGCAACAGTTATACGGTAAGATTAAAATTCTACATGTAATAGAAACGTATTGTAATCTGTTAATATGTGATACCTTGAGTGGTTTTAATGTAGCACCATGGAAAGCTGCCGGAGCCAGAAGCGTGGGAGGAATACCCGCTAACGCACCGGTCGCTGCGATAGCTGATTTACAATTGATTAGAAAGTTAAATAACGCTTGCGTCTCCACACCTCTTACGAACACAAGGGATTGTTTCAAGTTATCTATTTCGCTTTCTTTTTCCAAAGTCATTCTCGCCTAAAATGAATCGAAATATGAGCGTAAATTGAGAATGCACAATATTTATAAGTACCTGTGAGTGATTAATTTTCTTTATTTCCGAATTTTCTATTCCAAGACTTTCGAGCCATGCGTCTTGAGCTTCATCATCTTCATCATCTTCTTCTTTTTCTTTTTCATTACAGTCATTCTCATGTTGACAATCCTCATTAGACATAGCATCTACAGTTTTAGAGTCAGAATCTGTGTCAGATCGTCTTTTGGAATCTTTCCTTAAAGGCATAGAATATTCTATTTCTGAAACATATTAAAAGAGACACGATTAATATTTTTTAAAAAACTTTCAAAGTCTGTTTTTATTTTTACTTCATAAAATGTAGTTACACATGTTTCATTAACCCCTTCAAATTTGATTTTAATGGAAATATATTATACAAATTTTTTTAAATTTCAATTCAAAGGCATTTAATAAGTATTTCACAAACCAACTAAACAATTAATTTTTTTTTAATTTTAACTATTTTTTTGAACACATACATTATTAAACACGTCTCAAGTGATATCGACAGAAATAAATAATTTCAATGAATAATTTCTTCAAATTTGATGTATCATATATTATAATACACAAAGTCTGAAGGGGTTAAACTAAATAGTGATGAACTAAAAGTTTATTTTTTGTAAACGGTTATAACAGTTACTATTAATTAATATTAATTATCAAATAACCGATTTAAATATTTATGATTATTACTTTTAATACCTTATATTCTAGTCACATTTTTTGGATTTTCATTATTTAAATTCATTAAAAAAATCTATTTTAAAATATTTCATTATTCAAGATTTGTGCATAAACAAATGAATAGAATGTATTAAATTTTATGCTCAAAAATTGATGTCAATATAATTATTAATTAAAGCTCAAATTAATTTTTCTGTGTGTGTGTGTGTCATTTTAAAAATTCCATTTTTATTATAGTATGATTAAATTAACAAATATATAAACGAAATATTATATAATATTTTATTTATATATTTAACAATTTAAATAATTTTCATCTTTTTTAGAATTTGAAATTTACCTTTTATTTACTTATAAAATTTAAGACTTGATAAAAATAACCGTTTAGTTCGTTAATCGTTTTCCAAATTTGATAACGATTAAGTTATTCCTCAATAACGATTACTCAATGGCAGATAACGAAATCGCGTCTATCGCTACAAGGGATTAAGATTATTTTTCATCATATAGCTAATATTTCTTAAATATGTATAGCTGTACTTACATTTTGTCATAAAAGACATTTTTTAATAAATAACTAAATAAAATTATACAAGATTTTTTACCTTCTTGTTTTAATGACTGTCGGAATCCACGTGTTGTAGGTGTGACAAGTGCATGAATTTCTGATAATCCACAGATGCCGGCGGCACGAAAGAGCACTGTAAATGTGTTCGCACACACGTAAAAGTATGGACACTGCCTTGTTCGTAATAAGTGAAATAAAGATCTGAAGCTATCACACCATTCTCGATACAATGCATCTTTCATATTTTGATTATTTATTGTCGATGCATTATTTGCGAGAGATGCACTCACTTTGCCAGCAGAGCGAGGGAATAACTCTAACCATGGTACAAATGGATGTTGCCATATTAAGCAACATTGATGAAATCTAATAAGAATATTTAACT